GTACAAAATGTTGGACGGATGCTCTTTTCTTGCGCTCAGCAGCACGCATAAAGCTAAATAAAAACGAACAGTATTCCAGGCCAGGTATAACGTACATGTTGAAAAGGCGCATTCTAATGTCCCTAGTTTTGAAGTTTCGGAGGATAAACCCGGTCGTTCTACGCGCTTTGGAGACTATCAAGGCACAGTGCTCCGAGAGATTGAGACTCCTGGAGTATGATAAGCCCAGATCCTTAATAACCCCAGGCACATTTATGGCGTGACCTTCAATACTTATTTGAGGTTGGCGGTCGTCGCCAACCACCATGACTGAGCACTTATGCCAGGAAAGAGAAAGGCGCCATGTGTGGCACCACTGGGCGAAAGCCTATAGATCGTTCGTTAGGAGCTCAAGCACGATGTCATGATCTGCCGGCTTATATAGATTCACGACTATCAGATCATGGGCATACATGAATGGCTTACGATTTTGAAATAAATCAGGTACATCGTTAACAAAGAGGCAAAATAAAAGCGAGTCGAGTACATTATCCTGAATGACTTAACTCCTCACATATGTGGGCTTGGAGTTAGTATTGTAAATCTTAACTCGTTGTGTACGAGCGCCCAGGTAGGAGGATATAAGATTTGAAAGTTTGCCCCTATTCCGAACGAGGAGAGTTTCAAGAGAAGAAGAGCATGGTGAACACGATCAGACCCCTTAGTGAAATCGAAATATACCGTGCAAAGTGCACAACCATCGTCCCTAGATTGCAGAACATGGTCAAAGAAAGGGAGCTGACAAGTGCCACAAGACCGCGCTTTGGGGAATCCAAGCTGAGCAACACTCAGTAGGTTATTCTCTGTTAAGCTAAATATCACCTTATCTTTGATCAATGTCTCTAAGATCTTCGAAATTGCGGGGAGGGTGTTTATTGGCCTAAATTAATCAAATGACATAGATTTGCCGTGCTTAGGAATGGGCAACATGTGGGATTCCTTCCACAATGTAGGATAAGTTTCACTTTCAAGAGCAAGATTAAATATCTTGCATAAGAGGGATGGGAAGATCGTGTTTGCATCGGCTTTTAAAATGCTTACTGGGACACCATCAGGGCCTGGACTATAAGATTGACGAAAACGCCGAATCGCAACAGTCACATCCAACAGAGTAAAAGTTATAGATTCGAGAAGTGCTCCGGTCAACGCCTGGATGGTCGGAAGGGGAGTGGTCGGGTTTTTAATAAACGTTTTGACAGGAAAGCGTTGAAACTACCAGCGTTTAACTGGGCATCAGGTACAGGATTCCCGAGAGCGTCTCGGAGGGTGGGATGCTGCGTCTTTCCGTAAATTTGTACTTTTTGGGAGAAAAGTTTCGATACATTTAACGAACGGTTTTCAGTGAATTAGACATCTTCGGCTAGCTGTTCTTATAATAATTTTTATTAAAACCCGTCTAGGTCCCATCATCGGACAATCTCTTAGCCCGCTGAAAAATATCACACATCAAGGGCAGAACAGAAACGCCGTTCTGAAGATGGAATCGACGATGAAGTCTGCGCAGTCTGCGACGAAAGAGAAAGGGTAGGAAAACTTTATCCCCAAAATTAATTATTCTCCTACAGGGACAAAACGAGAAACAAGCGAATCCAAATTTTCGTACAGTTCTGCATCCGAACTGAGAAAGACATCAGTCCAGTCGTAGGAATAAAGGTGTGTTCATAATTCGGTCGAGCGAGCTGATGGGAAATCGCGGATAAAGCTATACTTTGGAAAAACGTTTTGTCAGCCTCGAGTTATAACGTTGAAACAACTATGTCATGGTCTGAGTCGCCGAATTTTTTAGACACCATTCACTTTTCAAACTTGTGTCAATTAATCCACTCTTCGACCAGAAACGATAGTGCATAAGAGTTGATTTTTACTAATGGCACCTTCCCACTATCTAGGGATTTCTATCGTGACCTTTTTCAAGTGATCATGCATTCATTCACTGTCGTCTTCCGGTTGACATTTTCGCAAAACCAGAAATAGAACGTGGCTTTTTGGCAATGCTTTTGTCAACAAAGAATTAGTAAATGATTTTCTTAGCCCTCTTGATTGGCACAATATTTTTTCAAATAAAGATCTGAATTTTTTCAACAATTTATTACAGTACGTATAAGAAGGTCTTCTCGATCTCATCCCACTGAGGACGTTTAAATCGAGTTCCACTTCCCCCGCTGTCCTACATTTTCTTAAAAACAGACTTAAAATCTAAGGAAGCAGCTTAAAGAGCTTTCAGTGAGCTCATTGGCAGTTCACCTGAGAAGCGTTGAAATATTTTAAGTAGCTTTGAAAATGAGGCTTACGCGATATAAGCGTAGGGAGTCTTTAGATATTAATGGCGTAAATGCTTCTAAGTCAGTTGTTCAGATCTTCCGTTAAAGATCATCTGCCAAGTCCCCCCATGTCATTCCGCCTTTGCTTAATACCAAAAACAGATTCATCACAAAGGATTCAGGTAAGGCAGAAATGTTAAATTCATTCTTTGCCAAGCATTTCACCATTGAAACTGACCCAATCTCTTCAATTCCTCCGTTGCCTGATGCCTCCCACATCACCATAAATTTTGCTCCTGAAACTATTCAAAAACCGATCAACCAACTTACTAACTCTAACTCTGTAGGAACTGACAATATTCGAACCCTCCTATGAAACAGCTAAGGGATTTTCCTCCTCTGCTTAGCAAACTTTTCCAGTCTTTCTCATAAATGGTTTCCTTCCTGACTATTGGAACATTTCTATTATTATACCAGTAATTAAATCTGACTCTCATTCTGATGTCAAATCTATCGAGGTGTCCATAAAACACCTTATCTCGGCAAAATCTGTAAAAATTATCGCCATGAAAATGATCGTCTTTTTTTTATTGCCAATCAAGTTATTAGCCCTTGCCAGCATGTTTTTTTACCAGCTCGTTCTTGTGAAAAATGTCATATGTCGTTTCTTAATTTACTTAATTCTCATCGTAATGATCATTTATCCATTGCTGTTATTTATTTTGATCTTAGTAAAGCCCTTGATAAAGTGCCACATATAAGACTCTTGGTTAAATCAGAAGCTCTGGGACTTCGTAGTCTCCTTATAGACTTTATAAAGTCATATCTGTCTAATCGCAAATAGAAGGTTTTGGTAGGATCTTCACTATTCAGTGACAACCCTATTGTAAGTGGTGTCCTACAATGTACCGTTTCAGGTTCTATTTTGTTCCTGCTTTACATAAATGATATCTCGCCGGAAGTGAAACATTGTCGGGCATTTATTTATGTCGATTATCTCAAATGTGTATATTCTTTCAATAAACCTACGACCCTTCATTGCCTGCAGCAAATCCATGCTGATTTGCTTGCTCTTTTTGCATGGAGCTCAAATGGCTTATAGAATTCTCTCCGCATAAATGTCGCTATATGTGTTTTGGGCCTGATAGGCTACCCCAACCATTGGTCTATCAAGGTACACCTATGACTGAATGTACAAGCATCAGGGATTTACGTTTAAGCGACACAAATTATCTGGGTCTCTCACTACACGCTGACAGGATTACGGTCAAAGCTGCCGAGTTTGGGGTTTTGCTCCTAACAATTTCTCTCTTCCTGAAATTGAAATTAAGACTCTATCGGATGTTTGTACTTCTCATTCTCGGGTATTGTTGCCCATTCTTTGGTTTGATGAACGAGGCTAGTCGTTCGAAAATTGAAAATGTTCAGAGACATTGTACTGGAAAACTGTTAGGCACGGAACATCCAAATATCTCCTACTCAGATAGATGCCAGAAAACAAACCTAAAATTATTAGGGGTTCGAAGACGGTCTGTTAGAGCTTTGAAGTCGGACTGATTGCATTTTGTCAAAGGTATTTAGGGGTTTCCGCGCATATATGCAACACACTATTATATTTCATGGTTTTCTCGGACTCTGAAAAATGTTTCACCATTCCGCGGACTACGAGAAAAAATGGAAGTCCTAGTCGATTCGTTATTAGGACTTTAGCCAGACGCCACAGATGCCTCTTAAGTAGCCACGCGATGGGCTAATTGAAAGTGGGACTTGTAAAAACTGAGGTAAGGCTAGACGGTGGGCATGGGGGTTCACTTCAGGATGTCGTTTCGGACCTTTCAGCCAGGGCTCTCTCGCCAAACCTTAGTGAAAGCCGCTACGGACCTCCCGATATCCGCGTCTGTCAGCACTTCACGCATATTTGTGGCGAACATTCTCGTGCCTTTCTGTTGAATGCGACGTTATGGACTTCGTCCGACGTCTTGATATTTGTATTCGTGCTTTTTACGCTGAGTACGCATGTAAATTGTCAACCATCCCGGATTCTGTACAGCAATGTAAGCGTATGTTTCCCAAACTTTATCTGCCATTCTATCTAGGAGACAACACAAAACAAGCCCACTTAATATATGCGTTAAGCAGTTGTCTAGCATTTCCTCTGACCGAACGTGCCAGGTTCCCAAATATCATCGCGTATTATCTTGTGTTTTTATGGCGTCACCGTGTTGCAGCCTCCTCTGCAGGCAGGTTATTGTAACGTGTTTGGCTTATTGTATAGATATAGCCATGCCAGGACAGCTTGCCGCTCTATTCGTCATCTGACTTAGTGGCTCGTTATCGCACCTTCTTCAGAAACTGCCTGTCCACAAGAAGCACAGATACCATGTCCATGGGCATTGTTAGGCGTGCAATCTACCAAAGATAATGCTAAAATAGGAAAGATTATTCGTTGGGATCGTGGAAACTCTACGGATAGGGAACGTTTGTCTTAAATAATTGGCAGCAGCTTTGGATACTGATTCGATGATGCTAAACAAGTGGAAATTAAGAGTGTTGAGTCTGCGACATATTTTTTTTCCTGTCATTGAAAACGAACGCAATCAATATATCATTTTGGTTAATAATTTTGACACTTTTGTGTCCTCCATGCTGGGCATCCCGAATATCAGTGACCTACTCAGAGTTCAAAACGAGTGAGGGAACATGATTTATCTGGCAGCTACGGACGTGATTGGTCGGTCCTCGTTTGTCGTCCCGCCATTTTTGCCGGTCTCACGTTTTTTCTGTGAGCATCATTTGGCAAGGTGGGTTTTTGTATTTAACTTAATATTCTCTTGATACCTCCCCTTTCTTTTAGCCCTCTTTACAGAAGGCACTTATAATATTTTTCATCCCATGCGTGCCCCGACCGTCATCTGTTTTTGAAACCCTATATAAAAGATTTTATTGAGGGTTATATATAACCCTGTTATATAACAGTGTACTAGTCTTTCTTTCCAGCCCTACACTAGCAGATCATATTTACAGCCTTGTGTGCGGCTAGTGATCTGACTGGTCTCTGAAGCCAATCACGTGAATGGTCTGTTTGGAGGATTGTGCCTGCAGGACTACTGACCAGGGTCAATCAATCAGTCTCAAAACTAGCCACGGACTAACTGTAGGAGCTAGCTTTGGGCGAGAGCGATGTTATCTGGTTAAGTAGATGGCAGAAGAACCGACTAAATAAAATCTGCTGCCATCTACTTCACGAATGAAAAAATATATACAAACGCGCGTTCCTAAAATTAATGGGAATCCTGAAGGAACGGGACATGTCTTTAAGCCAACTGGCATATCTACGACTGGCCGGTCGTGGCATCCAGCGTTAACTGTTTGCTGCTAGATAGGCATTCTTAACGAACTGTGTGAACTGGGTAACGGTGCTGGATCGAGGGCGGTAACACTGAGCTCCTGATGTGGACGACGAAGAGCATGCCCAAACCACCTCAGTCGCTTTTCTTGGATGACCTGGATTATCCTTGCGATGTTGTCGCTGCGAGCGCGGACTGTCTCATTTGAGACGAAGTCGGCGTACTTCACTCGAAGGATGGTCTTCAGGCAGTGGTGGTAAAATACCTTCAGTTTTCGCTCGTACTCCACACGCGCAGCCCAACATTAACAACCATAGAGAAGGGCAGACCGGACAGATGCACGATGCACGCGAATCTTGATGCCGATGAAGATGGCGCGTCAGATCAATAGGCATTTTTAAGGCCTGACAAAACCCGGCGGGCACCATAAATTCGGGGGACAATTCCGTCCTTACTCTGTCCATTCGGTAACAGTCTCGCCCCGAGGTACTTAAAACTGTCCACTTCTTCAAGTTAACAGCCATGAATCCCGAGAGGTGTCCTCTCCTGGTCAGGGATGCAGCTTGAAAACACTTTAGCCTTCCAAGCGTTTATGGACAAACCGACCGATTTAGCGACCTCGTTCACCCATGACACCCTAGACTGCAATCACCAAAACTTGAAGCAAGAAAGGCAACATCGTCGGCATAGTCGAGATCAGTCAGTCGGTGTCCGGGTACAAACTCAACACCTTGTATCTTCGTGTAGGGTCCTCCCTAGAATTCAGTCAGTAGCGTAGTTAAACATAATTGGCGACAAGATGCAACCCTTTCGAACGCCAGATCGGATATCAAACGGTTGGAAAAGGTTGTTGCGGACCAGAACCCGCGTAGTGGTGGGGCGATGGTAGGCCTTGATCAAGGCGATGATTTTTGGCGGTACACCATCTAGCATCATTATCCGCGATGGGTGGAATCGAACGCGGCGGCAAAGTCAACAAAGCAGACGGCCGTCGGTTGTAGGATTGCGAATGCTGGGCTGTGCATGTGGTGACTAAACAAAGACTGGAGGTCTTCGATCACCGTTGCCTGAAAGTACACAGGCCACGTTCTGAGCGAGACAGTCCGCACTCGCTGTGGCGTCGTATCAAGAATATCTCAGATCATCCAAGGGCGACGGCTGAAGTTGATTTTGGCACGTCCTACGTCGTCAGTCTCACGAGTTGATTGTTACTGTCCTGAATCATACACCGCTGCCTAAGTGGAGACAGCTAAAAGTAGGTCAGCTAAAAATCTAACTCAGCCCATATCCCTAAGACATAGAGGTAGCTCTTTGACCCTTAGTATTCAGTAATCGTCACTGAAGAGAGTGAGTGAAGATCTCCCGATCCACTGCGGCTGATTTCTGTACGTGCAGAGCTACTATACATGGCATTGTCGAGACTGACAAAATTAGGCATATTCTTAGACTTACTATGCGCAAATAAGTACAAGGCTGCAACTAAAACCGGAAAGACCCGACACATTTATGTAAATGGGCCTCTACAGTATGTGATAGCTGGCAGTTTTACGTGTTTATTCAACTGTAGATGATGGAATTCGGCCCAAATATTCATATCACATTTCAAGCTGAACCTATCAGTCTCAAATAGACTGATTTACACCAAGTTAGCGATTGATTTCTGAGGAACTCAAAAAGCTGTCGTGAGAAAGTTTTATCTGTTCCTTCGACATCTGTTGATGGTCTGTCAGTGACTAGTCAAACTATCAAAATAAAGAAGCTCCCCACGTCAGGTGACGGAATGAGCTGCTAGCGGACTGAAACAAGGACTTTATCGAGTTGCTGGGCCTGCTTTTTCCTGATGCATCCGACGAAATCCTAGTCACAATTGCCCCCTGCAAAAACCCAGTATGGTTCTCTCCGCGCGGCTTTATGTTACCCGAATTCAGGAGCTGAAGCCAGACTACATACCAAAGTCTGCAGATGTTGCTCTTTTGTTATTCTTCACGGTTAGATGAGATATTTCAACTGCTGCAACACGCAGACTTCGTCTTCCACAGTACTAGTGTTATGCCATTCTACTGCTCTTCAAGAATGGAAACAAGATGGAACGCCACGACTACAAGGGTAAAAACCTGATTGGAACCACGGCAAATACCTTCGCGATTGTGCTGTCTTACCTTTGTTACTATTCTGGGACTGTGCAGAAGAAGAAAGACTAGGGCTTATTTAGTCTTGGTGGAGGCAGTATGAACCATATTATTCATTCTGCAACGACACCCAGAATTAAGTCATTGTTTTGAAGAAAAGACAATCGTCTGTCTCCTTAATTTCGCTGAAGTGTCTTCCCCACTTAATAGGAACTCGAGAATGCCGTATGAGTTAGTGGTGCGTCCTCCGAACTCATTAACTTACTCGAAGCATACCATCGAACCACTAGCAAAATTTTCGGCACACTGCAAATGTTGGCCCCTCGGCGTCCACCCCAGAGTTCTACAAGACTGTGTTGTCCTATCAACCATTTTTAGCTATAAGATGGATTTTATTTCTGTCCACAGCACCATTACTACGCAGACATCTATGTAGGGCAAGACCTTGAGCATTTCTCGGAGGAGACTCAATCTTCCATTGACCGAAAAGTCGTTGCCCCCTAAAGGTTTGTACCGAGACTGGACGTTGAGAAATCCAAAGTATTACTTCACTGTTTCACGCATCGCTGAACCCCTGTCGAACTTGGCGCCGCTGCCTTATGGCCAACTCGAAGAAGTAAGCATGTATGGTGAAACCAGATCACAAGAGAATACTGAGACCCTCAGTCTTCGGTGTTCTGAATTGAGGCGCCATCTGGAAAGCCATTGCTGAAGTCATAGTTGGCGATTGCAGGACAGGGGCTGTACCGGTTCGGTGTCGTAGACTCGGGAGAAGACTTAACTAGGTCTGTAGAAAGACTAATAAAGACCTCTTCTGCCAATTTTTCTTTTTTTATGGACTCAAGATTGACCCCTTTTAAGCCGTCGGTGTTATTTTCCCTCAACAGGAGCTTTGATTCTCTAATGCTTACTGCAATCAGAAACACTCTACGGCTTGATCGACGCCAACTGACCGCCATCCGTCGACGTTCGCTCTTTTTTTCTTTTCTCTGTTCTGGCGTTGCCTACCGGGCCTACTCCAGAAGCCGTTCCCTCAGTGGTGACGGCGACCATGAGACACTCCTTCCTTTCGCCCAGTCAACGACTGCAGCACTTCTCCTTCAGACCCAATGCCACCTTCCTGTCCTCGGACAGTTAACAGTATTCTTTGCTGATAATAGATCTCCTGACTCAACCAAGTCAGGTCAGGGTGACTCAAAGCGTTTAGACAGACTTTTCGCTCTGCACCATTGGGTTGAGACCCAATTGCCTTACCTCTTCAACAGGAGGCTTTTCGACTCGATCGGTGAACTCTTTGATCCGGACACAGTCCTCGAAGTGGAACGTTCCAATGGCTCTGTCACCCGCTTTAGGTAATTAATTCCAGTACGCTCTATTAGGTGCAATTAACGTAGGAGTAGTATCTGACCGATTATCTGCAGGCGACTATTGCCGCATGTGGAACACATTTTCGAATGTAGCCAACAGTATCTGAGACTGGAGATTGAGTGCGTCTGTTCCACCTTATCCTGATTACAATTGTCATCTTTTCCATCTAAAAGTACTTCTCATAGGCTTTGGTGGAAATTTTTGTTCGTGGTTATTTAGGGCTTAGAGACCGATCGCTCGTTAATCATTTCTAGCCTATGCTTTCAGTTCCCCCAAATATGTGCAAATACCATGTAATTCTCCGAAACTGGTGCTACAACATTCTGTATATTCTTAACTACGAATCCATCTATCGACACACTATAGCGTCCCCTAACGGGCCTGCCTTAATTGTGAACCGAGATAAAAGACGTCAGATCATTCCATAGACGAACAAGACAAAACGCGCATGAAGTGCCCACCCTAGAACAACCTTCGTGACTTTTCCGCCGCTGGTAACATGGATCAAACGAAAAATAGGCTGGTACGTTTTCCTCGTAGTCAGTTTATTATATCGAGGTTATCCCTCTTTTGGCACTGAAATAGGTGACCTGTCAATTCCGAGACACCGGGGAAGAGGGGGAGGTCAGTTCTAAACGCCGACCTAGATCCCGAAAGTGCACCTTTTAGAGTCCAAACAAGTAATGTTACCAACTAACATATGGACCTGGCTTGTTATTTTTGAGTATTTTGTATGCTGAGTCAATTTACCCTATACGGTCACTACCTTAAGGGGTCGTCCACGAGCTAACATCTTCCTGGCCGCCGTTAGATCCTATTTTGCGGCGACTTCGTACCAGCGACGCATCGACCTTCTCGGTGTTCATACGGACCCAAAGGTCGGAGAAATAGAGGCCCATTTTCGAGTTGTTCTCCTACCCTCTCCTACCTCTTCAGATCGTCTCCTGCCCCATGACCAACTTGCCCTCCGTCTTGAGCAGAAGGCCAAGTGAGTTCTCCCTTCACATTTAATTTCGTACACTGGTGAAGTTTTTCGGTGCATATTATAGGCTAGTGACGCTATTTTCTCATTTGTACGACGATTCCCCATTTTCTCTTCGTGCTGGTCTCCGACGTGCTTTGCAGAATAAGATACAAAGTACATCTCTTTTTATGCGAGGGGCTTGTGCTCTAGAGCTCATGCGTTGCTATCGGTAGGCATAGACAATGAATTGTTTGACCCCTGATAATCTGCGATTGAAGCCCAGCTGAAGCGAGACTCCACAAGCAGGACGGAAAAGTACTTGAAGCGGCGATAGTCCAGCACCAATCTCGAACTTCATTTTTATCCCACCCTACACAACCGTTTTTTACGAGCGCGGTTCAACTAAATACTGTCACTGGCATATCGTTAGTCGTATAGTCTGCTTTATACTTTCACAATCAAGACAGTTTTTGGAGTCTGAGGGGACACTGCTGTCGCTACTTACATCCATACGAAGTCTCCAAACGCATCTGTTCCTATCTGTACCTACTTAGTACTTCTGCTTGGCAGAAAGTCAGACCCATCTCTACTACTCTTTCAGACAGTTCGGCCGTCGTGACCGAAGATGTCCACCGTGTGCCCCCACAGCAAGGTGGGCGCAGGGGCCGTGACTTGCGCCGCATCTACCGCACTTTTCCCCACCTCGAGTCAAAGTAATTGTGACGTCAAGCATAGTCATTTGTCCTTCAACGCCGCCGCCCAAAAGAGCGCCTCACAAAACCAGTATAATTATCATACTCTATATCCGGCCGACTCAGTTGTGAAAAAGGCGAGGCCTTGGGGGGTTTGAACCCACGACAGAAAGTGTAAGGCTTGGATAAAGCCAAGACTCTAACCGCCTGAGGTACGAAATCCCGACCGGAAGCAGCCAGTTTAATCACATTTGAGTTAAGCTAATCACCCAACCTACTGGAATGTATGGGTCCCGCCAAGTCTGATACAGTAAGCTGACTATCAAAGCAGGATTTCGTATGTAATCAATCTAGAATCCGTCAGAAGGCGATCCTGATTAATGAATTAATGTGGTACGCAACACTAAATGCACGCCAGACTGTCCGTTTACATTTCAGCGACGACATTTTACAAGTCACTATTAGAGAATATGAACTTTCTGATTTTGCATTTCCAGGGGATAGTGTCTCAATTGGAAATAACGGAATTACTTCCGGATTGTTAACTTTGAACTTTTTAAAAACCCTCTCCTTTTGGAAATAAATTTTAATGTCGCCAGCATTTAGACCAGTGTTTAATTTAAGAACAGGGTGTCTAGGGACTAGAGGTACACACGGTATTTCTGACAGTTATTCTGTCGTTTTGTTCATACCGTCTGTTCGACCGCCATGAAAGACGACGTCCGGTGTGTCCCCCACAGCATGGTGGGCACAGGGACCGTGACTTGCGCGTAATTTCTTTTATAGTGAGAGTATACTTGCGCAGCATCTACCGCGCTGTCTTCTTCTCCCCCACCTGGATCGGATGTCAAGACAAAGTTAAGAGGACCGGGGACGGGAGAGGACGCAGATGACTGCCACGGTAAAAACCCGCACCTAGCCGTAACACTACACCCCTTGGCGCACAACGTGCACCAACCAGGATTTTATACAAGACAGAGAGGGGGGCCGGTTCGGATCCCAACTAATGAGGCGTGCGCCTGCACCTGGGCCCGCTGCCACACTCCAAATGTTGATATTTGCTACGGGTGCGCATTCCCAACAACGCTTGCCGGATCCAGATCACGGACCCGATTGTCGGGATAAGATCATTATTCTCCCAATTGTTCTAATTCCTGCTTGCACCACAATCAGAAACAAAAACAGACATAGGCAAGGAAAATTTGACGGTGCAGTATTTGTTGAATAGTACTGATACACATTCCCGTGCCTATTGATTGACAGTCCGCGCCAGAGTAAAGCGAGTAAAGCTCCTGTTCAAACGATTGAGTCTACTTATTTTCAGATCCAGCATTTCCTCATTCATTTGATATTGTGATTTCGGTCCTTTGGTATATACCTTAAGCGGTAACCTGGTCATTTCTTCAAGAGGGATATTATTTACTGACACGCCTTCAAACTGAAAATAACTTCAGTCGGGCCTTCATATACAGTGCGATCCTCCAAGTAACTGAAATTTCCAGTTCACTCCATTGTATAACGTAGTAGCGCCTTTCGTTTAAGTGCCAACAGATTTCGCACCTGACAACTGGATTTTAAGTGTTGCCTCCTCGTTTTGTTCCTACCTCTTGGCATATTTTTACCTCTATTTTCATACTGACATTGGCGTTGGGTCCTATCAACTCCGCGTAATGTTTGTACCCACAACCTAGGTGCAAGTTGTATATTGCAGCCACATACAAAGTCGCTCCATCACTTTTCCAACACCGACATTAAATATCAGTTCAGACACCTATCTAGACGATTTCATTTCAGTTTGTACGATGGAACTGCAAGGCGAGGGGATCCTGCCAAGCTTCTCCTGCGGCTTGTCGTGTGCACTTCATCCATCAACTGAAGATTCTATAATTCCCACCGAGGCGACCGAGTTTTTCACAATTGGGTCGAATGAATGAATTTATAATTCCGTCAAAACAGTCGCTTACCTAGACAAGCTTTTTTGCCCGAACGTGCTAAATGAGAAGACAAGGTCTGATGAAGTTCACAAAAACTGTTTGTCTGGCCTCGAAGTAGGGACCCTCCTCGACAGGATTTGTCCGAGGAGACATGGTTGAGGATTGTGCCCAGCCTCGGTCAACGGTTCCTTCGTATCTCTGTGTGCTCTTTCTGGTCTTCTCCAGTCTGCCCGCTCGCATTTCTATTCCTATATTGGCTTTCTGATCGGTCCTTGAAGCCCATCAACGTTGTGCAACAAATGTGAGGATGTAGGCCGAAGACCAGGCCTGCAGCTCTGATTGTTCACTGTCTTTCGTGCGGTGCCCGTTTTCCGTGGTATGCTATTTCTTCTTTAAATAGGCCACTATAAACTCTTTTTTACCCTATCGGGAACTAATCGGTTTTCATGTCATCTTGGGTTCTTCGTAAGGATTTATCTCGCAAGTCTGTAACACCCCATGCTAGCTTGTATACTTGCACTTTTCGGCTGGTTAGCGTTGCTATACCCTGTGCACATGGCATCAGCAATTGTATTCATTTGCTGTTTCTTTTCACTGTCTTAGATGGCATGACTTTCGGGCGATTTTCAGTCTTTCAAAATCCGGTGTACTGACCACAGTCAGGTTAACGCAGGTGAGCCCGTGTTTGCTTCGAGTCTCCGGACAGTCTTTCTGTTTTAGTACTCTTCTGTTCTGTTTTAGCACTCGGCTATTTTCTATAGCTTCCCACTAAATGCATGAAGTAAAACACTCTTCACTAAGAAGACTGATACAGAACCTGTTTCTCGCTGTCATTTTGTGGATAAGTATATATCATAGAAAGTCAGTGGTTGGTATCGTGTAGTCATGTTTTTTTTTGAAAGTTAGTGCTCTACAAACCCCTTAACTGTCTGTTTGGACATCTTCCTCCTAAGAACACCATTTTTATCACGATATGTTTGGTTTCAGGGAGACTGCATGCAGGAAACAGGCAAAAATGAGGGTACGGTAGAAAATATATAGTCTTCCAACTTCGAAAAGAAAAGATCTTCCAGTCTGCTGTCTCAACGAATTAATCCATTAGAAAGTCGCTATACGAAACCGCTCCCTGTCTCCAACAGCATCGCTTTGAGGAAGTAAGGTGTTTTTACTCGAGCTAGAGCAGTCCTCAGAGGGCACACGTGACCTGCCGGCGTCAAATTCGCGCTGAGACAGAGACGCGACTGTTGTGTTGAGACGGCGAGACTGGAAGGAGAATGCGTCTTTAGTCAAGCTGATTGGTAGTCAAAGTGGTCGACGTGTGTAGAGTATGCCTAAGCCCAAGTCACCGTCCACGCCCACCACGCTGTGGGGCACACAGTGAACATCGTCATCTGCGACCGTCACTTGGACATCTACAAAGACTGCTGAAATTGTTGACCCCCCTCCACTTGTAATCCTCCTCATTCCCCCCTCCTCCCTTCTACTCATAATTGCCACGGTGCTCTGTGTACCTGTACAGTGCAAAAAGGGGCATCCAACTCGCTTGGCCGCTGTGTGCTACGCGCGTCCGATTTTTCAGTAACACCGGTTATTCGTCCGTAGTGGTAGGCGCCGATCCTCCGGTGTCAGATTTTGCCGGTTTTTTATAGTCATCATGTTATTTCGTTGGGTCTGAATATGCCGAAGAAGTGCAGCTCTGATCCCATATGTCTTCTTGACGCTTGGGCGTTTAAAAATGAGTTCTCCAGCCGTGGCGCACGTCCTTTCTGTTGCGATTCTTCCTTCTTTCCCCCTCCTCCCGGTTTCTTTTACATCCAAGACTTCGAAGGTCCTCACCCATGCTTGACCACAGCAGACTGTGCCATGCCTATCGAGTATTCTTTGTGATTGGTTCCGGAGCCACTAAGCGAAGACCTCGTACCTCCGTTCCCCAACATTTGACCATGCGCTTCCGTGACAATTTTGTAGGGAGCAACCACCTTCGGGAGGCGGCCATCAGGCGTCTATTAATGCGGTCATATCAAAGACGTTTAATCCATTTCCGTAGCACGAAAGTGATCCTTGTGTGTACACTTCAAGCCCAGCGCCGGGGATGCTCTCCTGCCATTTCAGCTTTATACTTATCCGAGAAGTGGTTTGGTGGAAGTGATTAAGCCTAGTCATATTCCTGTATCATGAAATAGCGGGTTAGGCCTTCCCAAGAGATGAGTTCAAAGCACCCGGGAACCGGGGCAACGTCTCCGCATCTCATTTCCCTCTGATTCATCAGCTTTCTAACGTGCCAACCGCTCCCTGTCTCTAACAGCATCGGCTTGAGGGAGTAAGGTGATTTTACTCGAGCTAGAACAGTCCTTAGAGGACACACACGTGACCTGCCGGCGTCAAATTCTCGCTGAGACAGAGACGCGGCTGTTGCGTTGAGACGGTGAGACTGGAAGGAGAATGCGTCTTTAGTCAAGCTGATTGGTAGTCAACGTGCCAACCCAGGGGTGCATGGTCAGTGCGCCTGAACGCAGCCAGTGAGTTTTATACTAAGTCTGATTCGATGACAAGAGGGAGAGTCAGCAATGCACTGTGGCAAATGCATCTCCTAGAAAGCTATCCACTGCGCTTGCCCCAGTTGTCGGGACTCCGTAATCAATCACGCCAAAAGAGCGTTTAACCGCTTGCATTTTTGAGACCTTCCTCTCTTTCTGCGAGGAGATGGGATGATGATGATGACGGCGCTTTTAGTCCTCCAGATTGCTGCCGTCTGGCGCGCGCGCGCGTTCTAGTAAGCCACGTCCCTGACCTGCGTTGTAGATGTGCCAGCAAGGTCAAGGCCCCTTGGCATGCAGTTGGTCCTCGGTTTGTGCAGGCCACGTAACCCAGCAGTTCACGAGGACACCCACCTAAAGAGAGGAAATCCGCGAAAAGCAAATGCACGCATAGTGATGCAGCCCGATGAACTTCTCCTTATGGGGTGGGCGTGGCCTGATGACTTCGGCGAGTTTATCAAGTTTGCCCAAGTTTTCGTTTTGGAAGCTGCCAATCCACGTGAACGTATGGCATAAGAGTTCCTACACCGCCGCAATCCGATGCCGTGTGTCTCTGGTGTTCCGCTACCCACACTACGCTGACACTAATCTTTTTTACATCCTTCATTTTCCCGCCGTAGGCGATAACTCCTCACCCCATATGTTAAAGGGTCCAGCGTGCTTATATTTGAAACGGACTTCATAATGCCTGATTCCGCCGGCTATGTAGACTCGCCGCATCACACACAGTCGCTGTCCGTTTGGGGACACACCAGGCCCAGGTATTGATCAGATATTCACATTGAGGCACCTTCTGAAATTCCGCCATGGCTACTGGCAATCGGCGGCCGCCTGTTTTTTGACATCACTGCTGCGTTTGATTCCGTTCACCATGAGTCCCTGTGGCGGATAATGAAAGTAGACGGAATAATGGCAAAAATAAGGGTCATGATAAGGACCTATCGCTCCACCACCGAGCAGGTTCTCGTCCATAAAAATCGCTCCCAGCCGTTCGATATCCGATCTTCTGTTCGACAAGGTTGCATCCTGTCGCCTATTCTGTTCACATACGCCATTGACTGGATTTTCGGAGGGCCCTACACACTTGACGGTGTGGCTTACTGATCTAGACTACACTGATGATATCGTCTTGCTAGCCTTAGCCTTTGGTGATTCTCAGTCTGTATTGACACAGGCAAGTTGAGTTGCTACTTCGGTCGGTTTGTCCGCAAACGCTGGTAGACCAAATTGTCTTCGAGCTGCATCCTTGACCTGGTGAAGGCGCCCCTCAGAATGCATGGCTGTTAGCTTGAAGTAGACAGTCTCAAATATCTGGAGGCGAGACTGCTGCTCAATTCACAGAGTAAGGATGACATTGTTTTCCTAATCGATGCTGTTCGCGAGACTCTCAATCCCCAGAAAGTGCCTATGGATCTGACGCGACATCTCCATCGCCACAAAATCCTTTCGGTCAGTTGTCTACAGTTATGAATGCTGGGCTTTGCGCGAGGAGGGTGCCCGAAGACTGGGGGTATTAGACCACCGCTGCTTGAGAACCACCCTTTGGGTGAAGTACACTGACTTCGTCTCCGATTCGGCAGTCCGTACTCAACGACAGTATCGCGAGGATACCGCGGGCCATCTAAAAAAGATGACTGAGGTGGTTTGAGTACGTTCCCATCGTTCGTCTCACGAGCTCAGTTATACTGCCCTCGAGCCGGCGCTATTGCCCATCTGGGGGGCGTCGAAGAAGAAGTCATCTCAAGAGCTGTCCAGATCCGCTGCCGCGGATCGTCGCGCGTGGAGAGGTACAGTTCGGGACATCATCGAGGCCGGCTAGATCAGGCATGATCGCAGCCGTATCAAGTACAAGTAAGTACATCTCAAGGCCTGACTCGAGACGGTTCGTCAAGACATAGAAGTGGTTCTTAGACGTTCGGTACTCGGTCTCCGTCGCTGGAGAAGAGAATAGTTCGAGCTGTCTAGATCCGTTGCCGCAAATCGCCACGCATGGAGACGGACAATACATGACGTCATCGAGGTCGGCTAGATCAGACATGGTCAAGCACACTGAGGTCTTAGTTTGTTACCTCGACACTGTCGTCAACCGAGGCCTGGGCTTCGGGCGTGGTGACGCCCCGAGCGACCTCACCTTAGGGTTAGCGCAGCGCCAAACGAAACCACCTTAGTTGGTCAGTAAGGAGGGCTCGGTTGACTGGTTCTGTTTGAAACTACTGCACCGTCGTCGCTGGTTGGGGAAGTGATCGGAAAAACGAGTTCGAAAAATGGAGCGTAGGAACAATCGGTCAAATACATTCAGGCCATCTCTTACCTCTTACGAAAGTATTATCTTAACGTGAACCTACGCCTGCAGCTGAACCTCCACATTGATCTCACACAGATTCCCGAGGTTTCGACGAAGTTGAGCGATGGCCGCGCACGCCTGGTTGACGCGCTGGTCGATTTAGTCATTACCCTTCCATCTCGGTGGGGAGTCGGACCCAGGTCAGAAGCCATAGATTAGCCCGAGAGTCTTGCCGTCAACAGTGAACGGGTAGATGACTTCTACTGCAAAACCCGAAGTGACAATCTTCGTCTTGGTCACCACCACCACCACCACCAATGACCAAGTACTCTTATTTTTGAACCCGGTTGTTTTTTTTCTGATTGTTACTTTGAAAGTTCGACGCAAAGGCACGTGGCGTTCTGACTACCGTTTGCCGTTTAATTCTTAATCCTCTCGCCTGGCTCTTGATTTCAGCTGGCGTTGTGCGACGCTTATGCCTGTCTGTATCACTCGCGTCCATAAACTGCAGATTATTTCCTTTGCCTTCTTCCACTATTGCATTTGTAAAACTTTAAAAAAGACCATTTCCTGATAATAACCGAGGGCAGTGGATCACCTCGCTAGAAGAAGAATTTTATTCGCTTTTCATTTCGGAGTACTGCTAAAACCCGTCGTTAGAAAGAGAGATGGAGACACACCGGGACTGCGGTATTTATAAAGTGGGCCACGTCTACACCGGCGCATATTTGGTACTTGGCAGACCTCATCCGAGTCACTGAGCATTCATCGCGAATGTTTGTATTTTGCATAACAGCCTTCCAGCCGGCCACTTCTGCACGGCCCACTGTAGAGCCCTCATTGTCGGTTTTATTATTGCCCTCGGTTTTCTTACCTGAAGTAACTATTCCATCTAGACAGTCCTGCCTTTGCGTAGGCTGGAGGAGTTTGCGTTTATTGACTGATAATGGACCAGAATATAGGCTTCGAGCAGCATGCATCCCACTGTTGTCGACTTTTGAGCAGATTTTGGCCTGATCGAACTGGTGGGTCTGGTCGTGTCGGACGAGTCGCGGCGGTAAGACACTGGAATAGCAAGCCCTTTAACGGTAATTCAGGTGGCTTTGCGCAAAGTTCCAGGAAGGGTAGATATTTCCGTGTCCTAACCCTGACGTTAGCCCTAATCTTAGCAGTAACCCCAATCACCCCGGAAATTGGTGCAAACCCCCTCCCCCCCCCTCCCCCAAATATGGGCAGGGGGGTTTCCATTCTGTGCACTGTCGTCGCGACTTGTTGTCTTGCGTCGTTGCCGATACATGCTCGGCCACTCCCGTTCCCCCGACGTAGTCTCTTTGCCCACTGATCGATTACTCAGGCGCAGTCTGTCCGTCAGGATGTATGCGGCTAATGAAAAACCCCATTCCATAGATGCCGCCGTCTGTGTCTCCACTTCCCCCTGTGGGCTAGAACATGTTCCCAACGTGTCAGATGAATAAGGCTATGCGTAAGCGTCTGTAAGTGCTGTATGGTGCATACTATTACAGCTACAGTTACAGGGTTCCATCGCGAGACTCGCGGGCAATTGTTGCAAAGGCGGATTTTCATGCGGAGGAGTAAATTCCTTGATGGCCTCTCATTCTTGGCTCTTTTCTTTTCTGGCCATCCACCGACACGTTTACACAGCTGACTCCACCACAGAAGCCAAGTATCAGCCTGACTTTGCAGCGACTACGCCTTATCCGCAACATAGTGCCAAGCCTGTCCAGCGGTGGTCGTCGGTTGCCCCAGCCACTGCCCTGTATTTCCAACCTGAATGCCACCCCAGCCACCACCATCCGCACCGCTGGTTTTTTCGCACCCTACTCTGATGCGGACTGTTCACGCAGCCTGGCCTCCGCGATCCGGCCCCTTCTCGCCTCTTCACCGTCGCCATTGACGCGGACGCGGCAGCACTCCGCATTGTGGCGGCTCTACCAGCAGCGGACGGACGATAGCGGCAGCGAGCTGCCAGTTCCAACTCCCCTAGGCTCCTTTGCCAGCCTCCGCCCCCTTCGGCGGCGGCAGTGGCGACACGATCGCGCCGCCCTCCTCAGTTCATGTCCCCTCTTACTGGCCAGTATCACCGCTTGTTCTCAGTGTTTAACTTAGGCCGCACTACGAAGTTCGCATACGTTAGATGGAAGGTAGATTTTTGGGGGACTGGAGGGCCGCTGGACATAGCGCCCACTGTCTCCCTTCCTGTAGTGAATCCCTTACCCATTTCCTGTACAGTTTACAAGCCAAGAGTTGTCAAACTGTTTGCTGCTCAGCATAGTAATCTTCCCACCACAGTTATTTTGTCGAGTTGCTTTTAGTTTTTTTCTCCTCCCCTGTATTTTACTCTTTTACTTTTCAGTACTAATACATGACCACTACCATCTTGACTTTTTCATAGGTATGTCATAGGCTTTGGGCCCTGGTCTGGTTTATGTTCCTAGGTACTTGAGCGTGTCGACTTCTGGTCACGAAGTGGAGGACTGTACACAGTAGCCGTAAGCAACTTTTAATGAAGTGTTTCGACCTACACTCCAAAGACTTCTTGGACTTCCCATTTGTGCTGCATGGTTGCGCATTTTGATTTTCCTAATACTTCGTCATGGCCTATACAATGCAACTGCCACTTGCATTTGAACTCGGAGATCCGTTAGCTCTTAGATCTCGGCAACCACTCTCCTTTCGACTTCCACATACGGCCAGAGCCCAACAGTTAGCGACCGGAGAAGGGGAAGACTATCCATTGCAGTCTTAAAGCTTGGAGTATGTCCAGTGAAGTACCTGTATCAGTGAATTTGTAGTGGGTAGCCACGTCGATGTCGCTAATTTGAGGAAAGACAGGAGCGTCGGGGTTAAACAGCGACTGGTACAGAGCTTCACAAAAACGTCGTAGGTCAGGGGGTTTTACTGAAGAAAAATAAACATTTCAAAGACGGTGGGGTAGGCTGTACATAGATTTGAAATTGTACGACAACATTGTAGTTGGTAGTAGTTTGGTTTTTTGCAATGAACATTCACTCTCGTCCCAGGTGGTCAGTCGTCGTCGCGGCAATCACTTGGGCGTGTATGCTGGTGGAGGACTGGAGGTGACAGACCAACCAACTGAGGGACATGTCGGGACATTTACATCCGTTGATCTCCACGATTTCATCACCAAGTCGGAGGGGACATTTCTCCGGAACACGTGTGACGACGAAGCCTGAAAGAAGTTAGGGGGGAATTTGACTGCCCAGAGCTCACGCAGGAGTATTGCTTGTTGGAAAAGTCGCGGGTTTGTACTTGTGACTCGAGTTTAGTGCAAGCAGGTTTGGTGTACCCTGTGAGCTGACCGTTATAGCGAAGTCTGGTTTCTCTGGTGGGGGGACCGACAGGTGTGTGACACGCTAGAGGCAGGACCGTATGTTTGGTCAGTTCCTACTCCCAGGTCCATCTACAGTCGTTCTGACCCAACACCGGAAAACAGAGGTCCAAATCTTCCTCTTTATAGTCAGATTCACGCCACTCATCTCTGCACCCCCCGCCCCCCCCCTGTCCACCGGATTTGTGATAATCCCCGTCAGGGTCAACGGATGAACGCATGAGATGTCAGTTCAGAGTCCGTCACCTGCGTTGACAGTGGGCTTGGGGTAGACGCGGACTCAGCAGTATTACGCTGCTGCAAGTGATAGCTGGGATTTCTGGGAGTATATGGATATGCATACGGCGGGAGAGGGGTAGTTCTACGAATATTTCCCATGTTTCTTGTGGACTTTAAACCTCACCGAAGCTGTGGAAGGGCCTAGTCCGCGTCTGGGAACGTAAGTCCGCAAACAAGTTAAACGTGGTCATTCTGGTCACCTTTGTTCCTGTTGGCTAGGCTTCCCAAAGGTAGAACTTGGGAAGGTAATTCTTGGCGTCGTGTGTGGTAAGGAACATTTTTCCTTTGTTGGCAAAACTGCTGTTAGGTACACAACGAGGTGCGTGCCGTTGATGCGGCAGAATGGTTTCGTCACAGGTAACTTTTCTTATATATGTTCGTGTAGGCGTTATCTGGCCACTAGTACCCCATCCCCGCATTAGATGTCTGACCAGCTCGGACAGTGGACTGGGGCTTGAGGGATGGAAGAGAGAGAGAGTGAGGCTAAATTTGGGGACGCCGTCCCCATGGCACTTGACGCATATTCCTCACTTTAAACGACTGTCAGTAACGCACTTTTAAACTGCCACTGTGAGCTAAAAGCCGAGGCTTAGAAGGCTGCCAATTCGGCCCTCCTCTCAGGACGGAGAGTCAGGCTGCAATGGCTCCCGCTGAATGTGTCCTCTATGGAACTCCCATTCAGTCACGACCTGAGCCCTCCTGTTTCTGTGAAACATCCGCAATCCGCAGGCGATTTGGGAGATTTTAATAAAACACTCGATCCAATCATGAAGAACTCGTCGGTCTCGGTGGAGAATCGGTAGTGCTCTGGTGGATTCTAAATAGATTGCTTGGGCAGTCAGTTTACTGTACGAGAATTGGCAGATCCTACATGTTGCAGTAGGTTGGGCGGATAACTTCGCCCAAATGTGATTCAACTCACGTCTTCCGGTCGGCGCCTCCTAGTTCAGGTAGTTAGAGCGTCGGCTACGCATAAGTCTTGCGATTGCTGTCGTGGGTTTGAACCCCACCGGGGATGTCGAGTTTTTCACGTAATCATTTATTGAAAGTGCTTCACAAAATTTCCGTCATTGGGACTTTTTCCTTCACCACGACCATTCCCCGAAACAGAGTTGTAAAAACCCACGGGCATTGTGCCCAGGATATTTCTATTTTACAATAAGTATTTTTGCGAATGTTTTGCATAGTTTTATTAATTTAACGAATCCACTTATTTAGGGCTTTTATCTTATGACCTGAGTGAAACGCCTATAGCGTACTCGACCTTTTAGAAAATTTCTACGAAATCGCTTTTTGCCCTCATGCCGCTTGCCTTTTAATTATCAATCCGACTTAGGTGCATCCTCATGATTTTAATATCTTTTTGCCTTAGTTAATGCGCTGTTCGATTTTATCTACGGCAGTTTGCAAGTCTTATGGGGGTTTGTGCTAACTATGGCTAATAGTAAGGAGTGAAATTTGGTTTTAAGTAGGCGCCTACCGTATTTGCCCTTCTTTACGAAGATTCCAAATGGCATATTTTCGTGTTGACGGTGAATTTGAACGTATCGGAAGCACAGGCCGCTTGTACTGTTCTCATTGGTTTTGGGAAGGGGACTCGTAAACATGGCCTGGGGATTGACCTTGACTACCTGGTCCCTCTCTGATGCCTCGTCTGAACCGGGGTTCATCTTAAAAATGGGCGGCAACGAGATTCGCTTCCTGGTGGCAGACCGTCGTCGGGGTTTGAACTGTAACGCAGTCCGCTTGTCGATGCGGCCGAGTGGTTCATCCCCTGGCTTCCCCCCTCTTCTCCAGAGAAACGGACGAAAGGGGAGGCTACGCCTTAGAATGGTTGAAAACCGTTCGTAATTAAAATTTAATACTTACTTAAAACAGTAAGTAGATACACTCTTAAATATGCTTTTTAGTCAATTTGCGACTTTTTATCGAAGTTTGACGAAGGATTTTTAGAAAAAAGGCACTCGGGATATTTTGCCTTGGATGTACGTACGGAATTAAAGGTATTTAAGGCTCCAAAATAAAGAAATGGCTACCGTGGCCCAACATCTGCCCAGAGACTTGAAAAATCTTGCTCTATGCATTGGAAAATTTCGCCTTTGCAATCTAATTCGAAATAATCATGCGTAACCGCGAGCATAATCTTCTGAGTGGGGAATTTAAATTACGAGGACTGAGCATGAAATTTCTCAGAAAAATTTGTCGTAAAAGTTATAAGCTTTTACTTACCTCTTGCGCTGAACATCGTTTGTTTCTACAGCTTGATGAACGTCTAGGGTAGAAAAAAATTTACAGCGACTGAGTCGAGATCGGGTGGAGGAAAATTTCGTAATACTTTTATGCCATGATGATAGTTTTTAAGTACCCTTGAATCTTTGCTCATTCTGAGTACTATTGTTCACTGTCCTAGTTTAAATGCATCCTTAACTAAAAAAGCATATATTTTAAAATGTGTCTGCTTTAAATGTGTCATCTTACGGCACTGGAATTAGACTCAAAGTAATCAGTGAAACTAAAAAACAAAACCCCTTTTCTGACGAGAATTTGGAATAAGTATTTTTGGTAGGCTACTAATTTCCCTATTAAAAGTTATACCTCTTGTTCTGTCCTCAGTTAGGCCCATCAAGATTTCCGAGCTGTGGTACCGACGAACACGAGGATTGGTAACGATCACTTTTTGGTTCGCCCTTTGATCCACCTTTTTATGATCGCTGGGGGCATTAAAGGGTCTCTGCATCTTGTTTTCGCATCGAGTTACCCTCTTTTTTGCGACGTCCCCGGTGGCGCTGGACGTCATTGAGCGGACGCATGAAATACAAGCGAACAGGCGAACAAATGTTAGCTTTAAATATGCATATATTTGTGGATAAGGTGATGCCGACAAAGACAAAAGAGATTGGGATGGCCACTTCTGGCTTATTAGTCGTCATCAGCCAGTATTACTCACATATATACATGTAAATGAAGAAACGGAAAGCAAAAGAGTCAGAGAGATAGCCGAGCCTTGGCACTTCAACCCCTAGTCAGTTAACCGCTGACCTACGACCATGCCGGCCACCACCTCAAGCGGGCATGCAACTATTGGTCTTTTACATTTTCTTATTTTCTACGACACGCACATGCACAAGCGATGGACATAAAATGAATATATTATTCCTCTGCCCTGCTGAAATCACCTCTTCATCTACATGCCTGTGTGTAAGGACGCTTGCAGACAGTAGGTTAGGAGGTGGGTGAAAGACAGCTACCTCTCAACCACCGCTAATGGGCCCGTAGTTATTCAAATTCTAAATGCTATGCGCGTCACGTAGTAAACGAGACTTAATTAAATAAATAGGCGTCAAAGTTGTCACAAGCATAGGAACTATGACGGAAAGCATGACAAACACCCTCGGTTCCATCAAACAGCAATATTTAGAAATCAGGTGTGTCTCTGATCCACGGGCAGCTTCAAAGGGGAGAAAGATAATTTGGGGTTCAAGATCGAAATCCAGCACTCAGGTAGTAAACTAGGACTGTGTAGCCTGCACTAACAGTTGGAAAGGCAAGTAGATGGACCAATACCTCCCAGAGCCGAAGATGCAACATAAATTGCATCCAGATCTACGGACCGGAAGTCGTCAAAAACAAAAGGTGAAGAGGATAAAACTCGGACGCAGGCTGTACTCTCTTCCAGTGAGAGCAGATGTTCACTGCTTATGGGTAGGCAAAACTACCTACATGAGATGATACGGACAAAGACAAGGGAGACCTGAATGGCCATTTTTGGCTTATTAACCGTCATCAGACAGTCATACCCGACCCCAAGTGTCGATCACTTGAGATTCGGGCCAGGGATCTTTGGTCATAGAGTGTGGCACTCTATCATTGAGCCACAGGCCCGTTGTCTTGTCGGTTGTGATCGGGAATATCAATTCTGACAGATGGGAGCTCACCGATCAGGTTACGGAACGTGCTTTGGGGATTATACTAGAACCCTCGGAGGCAGTCGCCCGGCGACTAGTAGTGGACGTACATGAGATGGTACCAACAAAGACAAGGGAGGCCGGCATGGCCATTTCTGGCTTATTAGCCATCATCAGTCAGTCGTACCTATAAAAACTACCTACATATAACTATAGCCAACCACCTGACATCCACTTGAGACAGAGCCCACGGGCCTGGCGCTGGGTCTTTCCATGAACTAGATATGACTCTGAAACATGACCTGTCAGAACACTGGATGGAATCGACAAACTTATATGACCAGCCAAGTGTCAATTATAGAGAGGCGATAAGTAACAGCTGATGTATATTTTCCGCCCTTATGCACAGCCTCTGAGATGCTCAGACCCCACGAAATCCCAACTTGCTTATTTATCAGATCTATGCTATGTTTACTCACTTTGTAAAGTTATGCAATGTATTGTTTGACAGACATGCTCTGTTTGGAGGTATACTGGTTTCCAATGCACATACCACAGCATTACGCCTGCATGACTGAGGAACAAACTCTTATGCGCACCAGTTCACCGTTGTGGGCAACCAATATTTAGATTGCTTTGAGCAGTGACAGAGAATGATGCTTGTCTCTCCTGTCCTCCCATTAATAACCTCGAGTCCTAATCCCCGCGAGAGGAGAGTCTTAAAAACTCCCTCAACACTAGCCGCCTGAGTGTCCCTTAATTACGCGTTCGCCTCAAATTATGTCGCTGGCCTCTTCACCGTCTGCCAATGTACACGCGGATTATGGCTATCGGAGTGCTATCTCTGTTGCTATCGCACAAGAGGGCCCGACTGACGAGCGGTTAGACAATAACTACTCAAAGTGGACTGGACTTTCTCCCCTGGGAGTAACAGCGTCGCAGCAACAAAAATTCTCCCAAGAGCCTAACGACCACCGCCTCCTCATGTCCTCTTCACTCGTCGACCAAGCCACACCGTCTTTAACCACCCCGGTGAGCTCAGTTTGCGGGATGCGCGCCTACAGAACCGATCGCATGTCGGTGACTACAAGAGCTACAGACCGAAGATCCTGGGCAAAACGGAGGATCCGTCTTCCGTTCTCAAATCAGCCAACGTGCGTAAGAGCCACCCCTCCGAAGTGACGCTCAATACTCCTGATATTGGCCGCCAGGACATGAGCCCGTTGGCTAAACTGATAGAGCATTCACCTCGACACGACTTACTAGATTCAGTTAAAATACCTGATCTGCCGAGGTTGGGGGGTTCGCTCATGGCTGACCAAAGACGACAAGCAAACTAGAAATGCCCACCCCAGTAATGCCATTGGGCAAACGTCATGCATGGCCGGTTAGCAAACAGATCTTCGGATTGGGAGAAACTCATGATGATGCCGTACAGTAGGTGGGCTAACTCATGAAATGCCAACCGAAATTCCGAAATGCGTTTTCCTTTCGAAAAGATTAATTAAGTAGCGTTGTAAAAGTAGTCAGCCTGCAATTTAATTCTATAATATTTCAGTTACCTCAGGATGCTGGCTTTCGAATGAACTTTCTTCCGGCTGCAAGCAAAAACTACACTGTAAAAAATGACTACTTAAGTAACATGAATTTTTCTCATTGATTTTCGATGCCCTTAAAAATTTAATTATACTTCATGGAGAAAACGCATAAAAATATTCATTCTTCTGCTCATTCGGTAGATAATTACGCCTTCTTCCAATTTTATCTTCGAAGGAAGGGTATGATTCGGTTTTCAAAAACTTTTCCAATTCCCGAATAATTTTGAACCCGACCTGCCGTTACACCTGGATTCAGGGCTTCCAAACTACAGACCGTATATTTTCCGCATACGGAAAAACACATTTCTCTACGATAGTAAAGGGAGACCATATAGGGTTCATAAAATTAAGTAGTGGATTTGATCCATATTGTTAACTTTACAGGCCACATTGGTGAATGCAGAGATATGACGATTTATGAACGGTCATTTCACGGTATTAGAAAATCTCACAATTATAAACTTTTTTAAAACCGAATCATGTCCCTACTTCGAGTATAAAATTGGAAGAAGACGTAATTATCTACCGAATGAGCAAAATAATGAATATTTTTATGCATGTTTTCCATGAAGTATAATTGAATTTTTAAGGGCATCGAAAATCAATGAGAAAAATTCATGTTAATTAAGTAGTCATTTTTTACAGTGTAGTTTTTGCTTGCAGCCGGAAGAAAGTTCATTCGAAAGTCGGCATCCTGAGGTAACTGAAATATTATAGAATTATACTGCAGACTGATTAGTTTTACAACTCTACTTAATTAATCTTTTCGAAACGAAAACGCATTTTGGAATTTCGGTTGACATTTCATTAGTTAGCCCACCTACTGTATGCAAGCTTCTCAAGTACAGTAATAAATCAACCAGAATGTTAATACTGTTGGATATAATGTGTACTTGCTAAGTAATCAGCCTTGGAGTAATGGACTGCGCCTGGTGGTAATTGTTTACAGTGCCCAGCTTTGCGACGTGAGAACTTACGTATGACAGGTGCTCGTGCTCAATCGGCACAATATTTCTACTTATGCAGCAGGTTTACGCTCTGGAGTCCTGCGCGAGGCATCGGCTATGTCTAAACCATCGCCCTTCAGAATTTGGCCTACTTTAAAACGTCCCTTAGTTGCTTGGGGAAGTTCACAGGATTGTAGGCATCCTTAGTAACCGTAGTAACTTTTTGAGCAGGGTACCAGCCTGTCGATTTCCGCTCATTACACATTCAGCACGTTGATTTTTTCAGGCCTTTCAAAATTCCTCGATTCTTGCGTCAGGTTGATTGACCTCCGCCATGTTATAAGACCGACATGCCTAAGAGTAACAGTAGCCAACGGGACAAAAGGTCTTTCAGGACAAGATAAATTCGCTTTGGTCAGCCCTCAAGTTTACGCTGTTAAAATGAATCAGATCTTGAATTCTGTTTCCATAAAATCGTAAGATTTGGGTATCAAATAAAAGGCGGGGTGGGGGGGGGGTGGGATGTCCTTGTCCTGGGAAGGCAATTATACCCTCTCCCCCCACACAGAGAGTCATTGTGTCCCAGGGCAACCCGATTTGGTCCATATGGTCTGAGGTCATCAGACCACATTGAGACATAATGGAAGAACCGATAGGGAGCAGGGGTCGGTGACGCGCCCACTGCCACAATCCCTTCTCAGCACGGAGACCGGCCAGTTGCACGAAACCCGAACGAACAGGCGGAGTCGTTAGCGCGGCACTAAGTGGTATCATCGAGAGACCGAAGCCAAGTGTTTTAAGGTGTCTCCAAGCTGAGGGCAGGAGCTTGCAGTTGAGGTGCTAATTGAATTCACGGCCAATGAACTGAGGGGTCAGGGTTCCACCGCCTATCCGGACCCGGGATATTCTCTCGCCCTAATATTTATCCTCGCCTGGCAACTGTCATCTTCCTGTAGAAGGCGTTAAAGGTAAGTTGACGTGCAGACACGGAAGATGCATTCAGCTGCTATTCCAATCGGACATGGAACCACTGGGAGGGATGTTGTAAATCTTGATCAGACGGGCAAAACCATCCACGTCTTCTGCATTTTCCTCAAAATGTAACTCACTTCCTAAAATCGCCTCGATTTTTGACGATTAGATCTAAATCTCTGAAGGTCGCCCAGTTCCCCAAATGCCATTGCATGAAGTAAAAATGGTAATAAGTGGCAACTTATTCCCGCTGAAATATCTAGTGGACGTCAGTTTATTGATTAACATGCCCGTTACCTTCTTAATTGCCTTTTTTGGAAATAATCGTTTATGAGAAGTAGCCCATCCTTGCATTCACGACCCGTCCTTTTATGCATCAACGAATTTTTGTCCCATTCTCGGCGTTCGGAGCCCTGAATAGTCATTTTCTAAAAACAGTCGAACTCATTTCGAAATGCCATTTCAGAGTGTTAAGTGCCCCACCATGCACCCTCCTCCCACTGGCTTTACAGTTCAGGTCGGATAATGTAAGCCTGCGTTCGGTAAATTATAAGTCAGCTACTCAAGCCCCCCGCTCCTCAGATATGTTAGATATTTTCGGTCAGAATATCAGAATACCAGAAAATCGGCATACCACGGAATTTTGTTGGAGCGGCGGCGGTCACACGAGCCCAAAATGAGATCGCTTATTTTTACTCTTCTTCAGGTGAAGTTTACCATAATTTGCTGAACCATACTTTTATCAGGAATAACCGTCTCCTGATCACAGTCCCTCTCTTAAGAGGGGAACCTTGGTTGGACTTGCACTTGATACAGCTGTGAGCACGTCTGGTCTAGGCGGCCAAGATGATGTCTCAGACTGTACCTCTCCCCAAATAACGAAGTTCGACCTATTCTCTCCTTCAGAGACAGGCACCTAATACAGAAGGTCCGAGGACCACTTCCATATCTTGACGAACTGTGTCAAGCCAGGTTTTCAGTTGAACCCTCCTAGAGGCCTCCAAATGGGCAGCGGGGCCAGATCGAGGGCAACAACACTATGCTCATGAGGTGGACCACAGCAATCTTCTTTTGATAAGATGATAAGATCTTATTTCGTAGCCGCACCTGTTAGGGGTTAGTGTTAAACCTCCTATTACTACCGGTCCCGTATGGCAGACGGTTGGGTCTTGTCTACGGCAGGTGCGGCTACGAAATAAGACCCAAACTTCTTATTTTTCGATGACCTGATATATCCTCGTGATGTTGTCGCAGCGGCTGTGTCATTCGAAATCTAGCCAGCGTGCTCCCCACGAGGGGTAGTCCTCGTGCAGCGGTGATCATTTGCCTCGAGTTTTTGCTCATCCTGCACATGTACTAGACAATATTCACAACCGTGCAGGGGGACTGATCGGACAGGTGCAAGGTACGCGTGGAGCTTCGTAGTGATGTTGGTGTGGCGTGGGGTCCAGAGATATTTCCCAAGGATTGCGAAAATCCTACGAGTAGCGTCGGGTCAGGAGACGATGTCATCCTTACTTTGTCCATCCGGCAGCAGTCTAGCCCCGAGGTACCCAAAATTGTTTACTTCTTTAGGCTGACGGCCATTAACGCCAAGGCGTGCCTTCTCCTGGTCCGGGATGCAACATGAAAAAAATTGGTCTTCCCAGAATTTGTGGATAAACCGACCGACTTAGCGACTTCCTTCACTAACGACATCATGGTATGAGGGTTACCAAAGCCTGAAGCTGCTAGGATGATATCGTCGACGCAATCGAGGTCATGCAGTCGGTGCTCAGGTGCTAACTCTACACGGTCCAGATCGTATAGCGCCCTTCCGGGGATACACTTAATGGCGTATTTGAGGGGGTCGGACAGCCATATGGTGAGGCTTAGTAAAGACCGGGGTCATTCTATTTTAGCGGACCAACTGCTACACGCCAGCCTCCGGTACCGACCGGGGCTGGTCCTACTATGTGTGGCAGGCAGTAATAATTGTCCAAGCGCATCGCAAGTGCGCAGATGCACAGTCTTCTGGAATCACACTATCCGAATCTGAAAAAGTCGGAAAAACAACATAAGAATAAATTTCCACCCAAAAAGACAGGGTGGGAAGTAGACGGCATACAAGTCATACCTAGAGGGCCGTCCTGTAAGCTGCAATCGAAAGGCTCTCATGGGAGGTTTCGTCGAAGGACCGGGCTTCAGGTCAGGAGTCGGTTGACAGCCCTGAGGAGGAGGAGGAGGAGGATGTGCGGCCCGACGGCGGAGTCGGAACTGTGGCAGGTCAATGAGACGGGGCACTGAGGGCACGGTGCCATGAGCACCCACTGTGGTTGGGTCGGTGAGAAGACGGCTCAGCGGCGGGGGCCGAGGATGGGACACTTGGGTCTCAGGGGGCCCGCGTGTCCACTGGGTGGCGCTATTCTGTGGGGTTAGTTTTCCCATGGCTCCAGCAACCCCGAGACGTGGTGTCCGCTGTGGCATGACAGTTTGGTTCAGAGAGAGGCTGACTGTAGGGGGACACGCGGGAAAGATTGAAATAGGGCGCTGTCGTAGAGGCACAAACTGTTTGTCTAAAAGAGGATTTCGTTACCCTGAGAGGACACCCATTGGTCACTTTTAGGGTCAGATGTGGTTATGTAGCCCCACTTGAAGTAAACAAACCCCAGTCACCTCTAATACGGGAGCGGTGGTAGTAGGGGTTTTTACAGGTGGGGCCGGGGAACGCACAGACGACAGTAGTTGTATGCAAAATAAAAGCAATTGGGAATGCGCGGTTGTACCTAGAATGGTTGAGAAGTAGTTGCGTTAACCCCTAACCCTGACCATGACCCCTAAACCTAACCCAAACCCCAACCATATTGCGTCCATTAGGTGGGACTATATAACCACATCTTATACCTTTTACCTGAAAACCTCGAGAAAACATCCTTCAAAAGCCAAAGTTATCCAGCCAGTCGATCTTCTCAGTCAGCCTAAATATCGCCCTCCCCTACAAGTACATGTAAAAGCATGGATATTAACTAATCGGTTGCTGTTTGGCCTAACCTGTGTAAGCAGTACGCATTTCTTGGCGTTTTAATGGGTTAGGAGAGGTTGCCCCAGCCTATCGATTAGGGAGTATCGCTTTTCTTATACAGTGGACTTCCGTTAGGCGGCGAGTAAATCTTTTGGCCTCTTTGTGTTTGGGAAGTGAAAGCGTTTGTCCGAAAATTTGACAGTGCGCAGTGGATAGTGAACTGCTCTTGAGGAAGTGAGAGAGAGAAAGAGTAGAGAATTTCAAGATGGTCGATGCCCCGAATGAGGTGGCATTTTATGAGGTCAGTATGCCTCGCGATCCGCCAGTCAGCTAACAACGGTTTTTACAACTGCATCTATAAACAACGTCATAGGCTGGTCATCTCACCGAACACGATCTCTACTAATTACAGGCAATACCAGCAGGATTAGATACCAAAAGTTCTCGGTCTGGTCCCCGTCCAGTTACTAGGAGGACTCAAGTGTTCCGAAAGTCCAAGATTCTCCGTCAGTGTTGCTGTGGCCCTGGGTTTAATCACAGAGCGCGTGCTGGATATCATCCTTCCTGTTAGTCTGGTACTGACTGGCGTAAGCGAATGGTCAGCTTGCATCGTAGTAAAATAACCAGAGCACTGATGGGGCGGAAACCGGAATTTGGCGTGTCGTGGGGCGTACAATTAACTTTGCACTAGCATTACTGGCAAAGACAAGGGGGCATCCCTCTACCATTACCTTTGCATTGCCCTGGCAACGAACGGGGGCAGGCAATTAGCCATCGTTTTTGTCGTATTAGTAATTAAACTCAGCAGGCAAGGTTGCTCACGATGTCCAGTCAATTATTACCAGCATCTAACTTCGTTAGCTCGGTCGTTTAACCGCAATATGAGGCCAACGAGGGTTTGAGCAACTTGCTGACGTTATCCGTTCACAGGCGTGACCTCACGCCAAGTCCTGGTGGGAAGATTCGTTTGCCGATTTAATAGTCCTCGGGTTTTCATAGAGCAAGCATTTCAGACAACATTCTGGGATATAGGCGTGTTTGCAACGGATGCAATCAGCAGTTCTTTCATAGTCTCCTGACTCCTCGTCTCTGCAGACTGACAATCTTAGTTCCCCATTTGGTTGCTTAGTGATCAACTATGCTGGTGAAATTGCCGTTGGCCATTTCTCCAAAAGTTACCTCACTTTCCAAGACCTAAATGATTTCGTGGGCTTACTATCGTAGTCATTGGAAAGTGGTTTCCGGTGAAAAGATCCAAGTCGGTTTGAATCCCATGCGAATGAAGTCTCGCCTTATCGAATTTTCGGTTTACTTCCGGGTTCTCGACGGTCGACGTACAAACCGGAAACCAACAACGTACCCGTGAAGTCAATAAGTGTTAGGAGTCGTTACATGCTGTTATGGGAAGGTGTTCGGATGAATAACGGAAGAGGATAAGACAGATGATAAGTTAATATGCCTAATTATATTTTATTAGATAAAACCACATGTCTGTGAATTAGATTTTACCAGATTATATTGGGTTGGACACGGTTTAGGTTTGATCATGTGTACGTAGATCAGAATATCATTGATTTTCGCCAAAACGTACATACCCCCCTTTATAAACAAAACAAAGTGACTAAAAGCACATCTTCGCAAATCGGTTTTGATGGCGGGGAAATTATGGGTCAGGTTGGTCGTCTAAACTCAACTAGACTGTTGCGCTCAATGCCAGTTGAATAAGATCCACTGACGCTCTTGCGTCACGTGAATTTGCCACATTTTTCTACTCGTGTTAATAAATATACTCCTTAAACGTATCCTTCGTATCCCGCATCAACAACCTCATTCCAGGATACCTTCAGCTGTCGGACGGTTTGCTGATTGACCTCCCAGAAACGAAGCATACCCGCCCCCACTTTCCGAAGTAATGGCAGCGAAATCACTTCTTCCTACCCGGCCCGTCATATACCACCCGGTTGACCTTCGATGTATTCTTATTTCCCTACCTTCCCGTTTTATCGTCCTTGGTCCCTAAAACTCAAAAAACTAAGTTCGGATCCACTGAACTTAAACCCTCTACCGTGAAAGTCCCTTTTGGGGCCTAACTTTTGACTCGATCTTGGAATGCTTATCTGTGGGGCGCGCTTGTTGGGATGCCTTCTCTGAAAGGGCGGGGGTGGGTGGGAGGGTATAGCAAACTTACTTATGCCCTGATAGCCGTACTACCCAAAAGTCTTACCGACAAAGGCTAGGGCGAATGGGATGGTTGCCTCAGCTTATTTGCTTCTTTCAGCCGGCGACAATCTAAGGCCCAACTTGGAGGACCGGAAAACGAGCCAGGTTAATTTAAATGCTCTATCCGCGAGTCAGGGCTTATGATCTTTCGACTACGACCGGAACTATTCGAGATCTCATAAGCGTAATGCTCACTAATTTAACCGGATTGCAAGATTCTATGTTGCCTTAAAACTTCAGCCTAGAGCACAGGAAGGCGGTCGTCTCGCGACACACAACGGATAATCAATAAAATTGCGACTTTTTGTGTATTGGCTGTCGTCAGCCCAGGACATTGAAGACTCGGTCTCCATGGGAAAATGGAATTGTCCCTATGCCTTCCTGCAATCAGCATAGGCGATGAACCCCGACTAGGATTGCTGAAACGCCGGTTTGGTGATTTCCAAGAGAGTATCCACGGGGGATATGCCCCAGATACCTTTGTCCACTTTAAATACAGTCGTAAACTTATTTCTTTACGCACATGCATTGAAAAGAACTGAATATGTATTTACATTTACAGTTATATATGCCAGTAAACCCAACCCAGACCCCCTGCCTACTCTTATTTGGCCGGTGTCTTATTTCTGTGCTATGATGCCCAATGTCACAGGAGTTTGGCTGCGGATCGGTGCACTGCCGTTTTTGTGTCCAATGACCACACTGGACTGCAGTCATGGGTCTTTACTGAAGCGAGAACGCCTGTTGCCAGCGCCATCAAATGGCCAGACGTTAATTGGCGTCATCTCTCACCTTTACGTTGTTTCCGGGTCCAAATATAATTTTCCGCTTGATGGCTTCGTCACGCCATTTTCACACCTTGAACGGACGCGGTGGTAGGGCCACCACCCACTCCTCAAGGGGCCACACGTACAGACCGGGCTGGGTGCATCGACAGCGTCTGGGGGTTGAACACATCTGCCTAATTAGCCAATACTACCAAGTGACCCCCCGTGACAAAAGTTTCCAGGGCGTCCACCTCCGGTAGTGAGGTCGCGAGATTTTCCCCCGATGAGCTGGTTAGATGTTCATGATGGAGAAAGGACTAGGTGCACTAACGACTGTTGCTAACGGTCACATCTGGACTCTTTACCCGTAAGATCATCTGTTTTGTGTGAAAAAATGGGCCATTAACGTTCGACAGGTCTATGCAATTCCATTTTCACTGGAAATGGCTGTGTGAACGGATGACGAGCCCCGAATTTAAATTCTGTTTCTGCAAAAAGACTTTCTCTAAATTGATGGGGCAGGAATCATTTGCCACCGGAATCTCCTAGTTAGGCAATTTGGCGGTTAGGGCAGGTGTTATCATTCGAGCGATGCAAAGTTCGGAGTTCGAAAAAGTCAAGATAACCTATATTTGCTGTTCACTATATCTCCCATATTGACTTCAGTTTCCCCTGCTTACAAGATAACAACGCGTAACTCTGCCGGGTATTATCTTAAGCCCTCTTAATCACCCCTCAAAGCAGATTGTCTTAACAATCAATCTGATAAAAGCGGAATGGGTAAAATACAGGGTAATTATGGAGCTCATGTGAAATTGTACGGTCTGATAAATTTTAAAGTGCACGAAATAAAACTACACCGCGGATTTTACAGGAACTGTGATCACTGAGTGCCTGCCGCTCATTACCATTGCAAACTGCTGACATAATACATATTTTCGATTCGTCCAGTTGATAGCTCTCTGTTGCGGATGACAGAGTTGAAGTCTTTAACAGATGTAGGAGGTATTCACTACTCATGACAAGAAGGCTGGGCGGTGTGGGAATGTTTCTAACTGGTGGATAAGTGCTCGACAATAAACACCAGGGAGATGACAGCACTGCTATGAGACTGAGGGGTGTTTTCAACAAGTGGAAAGGCCGCTTACCCTTAGGCAATTGTTCATGCTACCGAAATTGTCGTTAGTCGAGGCGTGGCCTTATCTGCAAATTAGGGCGCCGTTAAGGCTGCAGGTCGATTTTTGGGTCAGAAATGACCAACTGATCCCCACTCGCTCCGTCGTCTGCACTTTCGCGTTACTGGGCTGTCTCAGGTCGCCAAGATATCTATGATATCTGCTTTGAACCCGTTTTATTTAATGTAGACGGCATAATTTGACGGGCGTTAACCTGGAGGAGGTCTACTTATTCTGCGTCCCTGAACGATACCTCAATACTGC